ATACGGCTATTAAATAGAATCAATAATACATATGTGCATACATATACATTTCTGCCACGGAGGTTATGAATTAAAATACATACAAAATAGAATATTTAGTATGGTCCCATTTTTGAAAATTAAAAAAAGCTAGAGATACACTACACGTGTGGAAAATAATGAGGAGAATATGAACTAAGCCGTAAGCCGTGACATTATGGAAGACCTTCGCATTCTGTGTTCCACATTCCTGTACTGTTTGAACTCTTTACAAGTATGTATTATTTTTGTTACCAGAAAAAATAAACCTAAAAATCCTATGTAATAACTTGCCCTTCTTGGCTTCTCATCACAGTCTTTCTCTAATTTCGTATCTCTAATAAATCCAAAATGCAATTTCACTTGCTAGAGCTATTTAAAAAGCTCTTCTTTTCCCATAAATCTGTCAATGGCTTTAGTGCATCAGATTTCCTGGCTCAGTCTGAAATCCTCTGCAGCTTAGGGTAAACGCATAGATTCTGCTTTGTCTTGCTCACCCAAGAAAACAAATGCAAAGAGCATCAAAAGCAAACGCTAATAGATGCTTGCTGCTTTATTTAACTTTTTGCTGACATTTCCACTTTCTTAAAAAGTAGGTATTTTCAATTGCTTTGTTCATGAACAAACTTTACGGAATCCTACATTACTGAAGAAGTTTGCAAAAAAGCAACATTCAGTGGTTACCTGTTGAGAATGAGTAATCACTCATTTTACACTAAGCTCTTTCAGTGATTCTTTCTACTTATCACGAGACATTTACTTTGTTCCAGCTATCAAAGGGCTCCGAACACACAGGGCTTTGGAGTAGTGAGACTGGACAATGCCTGATGACCACAGTAGGCATTTTAATTTTTAACACAAGCCTGAACCCAAAGTTGGCCAATGACTGGGCATCCCCAGGTAGTCCAGAGTTAGGAGAGAAGTAAAATCGAGTGACATTACCAGCCATGGTCAAAATTCAGCGGATTCACAACCAAACTGCCTTTTGTCAGTATGTCACACTGAAGAACACTGGCCCTTCCTACTACTTCTCTTCCAATCCACCATTAAGGGGAGAAAAGTTGGCTGTGAGTGCAGTCTAGGAAGGCAGGGTGGAAATATAACAGCCATGCTTCACCTCCACCAATTGTTCACTAATACATCAATATATACCAAAAGGCAAAACACAGGGAGGGCAATGTACTGGGGGCAAAGGAGGTTGTACATAGTGTGGTTTCTTTCCTAAGTGAAACTCACAGTGTAACTGAGGATACAAGACTTAAGAAATCACCTACTGCAGCACTATCCAACAGGAATATAATGCAAGCCAGATGTTTTAAAAGTTCTGAAAGCTACAATAAAAAAAGCAAAAAGAAACAGATGAAATTAATTTAAATGATGTTTCAGGGGCTGGCTCCGTGGCATAGTAGTTAAGTTTGGTGCACTCTGCTTCAGCGGCCCGGGTTCCCAGGTTCAGATCCCAGGTGCAGACCTACACCACTTGTCAGCCATGCTGTGGCAGCGACCCACATATAAAGTGGAGGAAGATTGGCACAGATGTTAGCTCAGGGCTAATGTTCCTCAAGCAAAAAAAGAGGAAGACTGGCAACAGATATTAGCTCTGGGCTAATCTTCCTCAGGAAAAAAAAAATTCATTTAGTCCAATATATCCAAAATATTAACATTTTAATATACAATCAACATAAGGAAATAAAGCAGCTACTTTACACTACTTTTTTCTTTTCTTGGATACCCAGTATGTATTTGATGCTTAGAGCATATCTCAATTCAGGCTAGCCACGTTTCAATCACTCAGTGTGCTTTATGTGGCTACTGGCGACCATATGGAAAAATGTGCAGGTCTATAGGGGAAATCTAATCAATCTAATCATAACAGGCGATAAGATGAGTGCAGAAGGAGAGGCTCACATAAGCACCCAAGAGTCATAGACCTTCCAAGAAAAACAGTGCCTCTTCTTGTAGTACCATACTAACCTTTTTGCTTCTCTAAAATTTAATCCAGGGCTTTGGCTCCTCTTAATTCTCCCTCATTCCACCTTACCAGACCATGCCTCTCTTCACTTGTCTGTAGCTCATTCTCACTGAGGTCTCACTCACTTTCTGTGCCCAAATTTTACCCTTACTTCTTCACAAGTCTAATTTCACAATCAAGAATAGAAACCAAAAAATATAAAAGCTTTCACTCTTGGTGAGTATATTACTCAATGTCCTATCACTTATCTACTTCTACACTTTTTAACCAGACTGTCTCCTTAGAGAGAATGAAGAAGGAATACTATCTGTTTCCGTAAAATGAAGCCCAGGACCTAAAGCAGAACTAGAAACAAGAATGACGACGATAAAGCTCAAGATTCCACTGGCCTGGGGGAAGCCATATGTACCACACTCCCATATGTGCCCTGTGACTGGCCAAAGATATCCTAAGCTCTATTTTAGCATTTTTTCAGTGTCTACAATGTGTGGTTTTTATCTTAATAAAGTCCATCTTTTTTCAAACCAATTGGGCTGATTACACAGAAACTAGTTATGCTTTAGCCCAACTTTACGGATGTAAATTTACTTTACTTAGCTCCAGCCCATTTATTCAGCCAAGCAGGTAACATGGTATTTATCAGATTAAAGTCATTTGTTCAGTTGTTATATGCGCAAGTTCAGTTCATTCAATCCGGTATGAATAGAGTGCACCCTAGCCCTAGCGAGTTATTTTGCAAATACAAATTTATGACACGAGCTACCAAGAAATAGATCCACGCAAATCCATTCCTATTCCGCTAAAAAATAAACTTCAAAGTACATACTTTAATGGCAGTATGCCAGCAGCGTGTGACATCATCTTTGTATACAACAGGAATTGGTTACACAGCTCCATTCTGCAGTCTACAGAAGCCCTGAATAGGTACACATGCAAGCCAAAGAATCAGACTTATCTCCTGCATCCAATATGTACTCTTTGTATAACACTGAAACATCTTCCTAAGTTAAGCCTTTTGAAATTTTTATCATTTATTATTTTCTATTTTAGAAATTTATGCCCATGTGTATAGCAGAATCCTATTAATGGCATATTGGACACAAGCACGCAGATTCTTACATTTATAAGGAACTTGTCCTTCTAACATACCCTAAGAACCAATTCACATTAGATGGGTTGCAACTAGAATGGAGCAAAGTCATTTTAAAAGCCCGATGAATGCATAGGTCTGAAAACATTCCTCCAGTGTAATGTGGCTGCCGGTCTGTATTACGTCGATGTCTCAGTGATTAAATATTTTAGCCTCCAAGAAGCTCTTTTCTAAACGTACAGTTGACTTGAAAGATTTACTAAAGCTTGCTTCAACTGCTATCCTAGAGAATTGTTAAAACAATATAATTGTCAAACTAGTGTATTGCTAATCCCATTTTTATTGTTAACATTTGCCACTGAAATTGCTCTCTAATTGTTTGTTTTGGAACAGACATAAAATATCATGACAGCAATATTTTGGCACATATTGGAAAATCTGCCATGAATAAAGATTTTCTTCCAATAAAATACAGTTTGCCTATATTACTTGGCATCAAAATGATTTATTAAAATAGGCCAAAACATAAACCACTGAAATAAAATGAAGAGAGATTAGAGATATAGTGAAATCCGAAGGCTGAGCCATCCAAATTCATACTTAACACACATTTAAAAGCAACTTCTACTCTTTGGAAAGTGGCAAAGGGAGAAAAAGAATGCCTTGTCTCCTGCTCATCCAGCAACTCTGCACTTGAACACCAAGCCACAGGGCTCCTTCGACCGCTGACATTCTTCAGGAATCCGCATTTATTAAGCTGATCCAGATTGCCTTAGTGCCACAGACCCTGAAGACTGTGTATAGGAATCCACTCAGTTCAATCCAATGCATGCTGCTGAACCTCCACTCTCTGCCCAACACAGCCGCATGTTGACAATGAAAATGCAGTGTCCTCCCCAAGGTGGGCCCTGCCAGGGAAGCAGTGCCCAGCTGCTGTGACTGCTCCTTCTTGTAGGCAGTCGGCTACCTGGCTTTCTCCACCACTTAGCCTGCCAAGAGCGGGAACACTTGTGGCTGGAGCTCAGGATTAAAAACATTCTGCCTGCTCTCTGCCCTGAATGTGGTGTTAGAACTCCTGGGCCCTTAGATCAGACCTCTGAGACCAGCTCTGTCTTTTATGCTCCCTTCTCCACAGACCCTTTGGCTGATCTCAAAGCCTCGCTGAGGGAGACTTGCAGGGAACTCCAAGAATCCAGCTTTCAAGCTGTTCCAAATTTCCAGTACGATCCCATGACCTCAAGCCTGATTCTCTCCACGTCCTGACCCCACGGCTACTCAGCCTGCCTCCTCACTGCACATAGCCCCTGCAGCATAGGGGCTCCAAGGATATTTTTCATTTAAGTATAAGATACTATCTGATTTTGAAGAGTATAAATTATTTGCAAAGCCAATAATACATGAAACAACCAGAGTATAAAGCCCTGCAGGATCTGGTCCCAAATGACCATTCCGCCTCACTCCCTATACTTCTCTATGGTCCCTGGTCCAGGCACATCTAAGTAGTCACCATCCCCCAAGTTGGAATGTCCCCTCTGCTCATGACAACTCCCTCAGGGCCCTGTCCAAAAGTGGCATCTTCTGTGAGACTCCCCTCCCTGTGCTGAGCAGAGGCAGCCTCCTCCTCTCTCCCTACCAGCTCCTCCAATGCTCCTGTCCAGTCATGCTTACACATCACTCCGTCATGCCTGTGAATCCAGAGGGCCCAGATACCAGCCACCCTGGCAGAAGGCAGCACGTGCCTCCCGAACAGGCAGTTACAATGGGAGACAGCTTTTTTTTTTTTCAAGATAATAAAAATTACTTTCAATTGGTTATTGATTTAACCCATTTGATCCATACTTGGAACTCTTGGTTCTACCAGAGAACTCCAGAAATGTCTGCTTTTCTTAAGATTTGTACATGGCTATTTTGTACAAACAGGACATCAAATTTGGAATTCTGCTCCCTTCATCTTCACTTTCCTCGGGCCTGCAGGAAAGACGCAGAAACTGTGCGCAATTCTTGGTCATCAGAAGAGACAGGTTTGCTTTCTTTCTTTTATTTTTTTTACTTATTTTTATTTTTATTTTTTCATTTAGTAACATTGCTTTATAATATTATATAAATTTCAGGTGTACATTGTTATATATTTTGATTTCCGTGTAGATTACATCATGTTCACCACCCAAAGACTAATTAAGACTAACTGCAATCCATCAACACACACATATTGCCTAATCACTCCCTTTGCCCTCATCCCTCCCCCAGCTTTGCTTTCTTAATGAAAACACCTAGGTGAGGATGCACTGCCGCTGAGAGCATATCACATGAGGAACTCTAGAACAGAAGAAGGGAGTTGCAAAGCCAGTAATCAGAATTTAAGTACATCAAACAGAAGCTGGAAAACAGTTATGGCCTGAGAGTAAAGAAAAAGTCACCAAGAAGTCACAGTGGACCACCAGCTGGATGAGTCAAATGGTGTGTTTTTTTTTAACGGGTGGCTAGAAGACTCAAGCAGTAGCCAAGCCTGGTCCCACACAATCTTTTTATCATGTCCCGTTCTGATCAAATCATTGCTAGAAGCTTCTATATATACACTAGACACCCATAGGCTCTCGAAGTTAGGAACCAAACCTAACTGAAGAACATACTCTGTTTCCCTGAATGTGAGAACCTATCAGTTCTAAGAAGCACCATTATTTTATCAAGCACTAAGAAAGAAAAATGCACCAATTAAGCTGTAACATGGTTTCTTATTACTTAAAATTTTCATTTTATTTTTATTGAAAGAGCTCTTTTAGACTTATTCAGACACACATTTTTATAATATCTCACTCGAGCACTTAAAAAAAGAAAAAGAAAAGTGAAATAAATTGGTTAAGGCAATGACAACCAGGTCACCTGGCTGAAAGCAACTGTAAAATGCCACTGACTTGGAAAGTACATCCCAGTTTCAGAAATGTTAAAATCTGAAAAACATGTGTATCGTAGAATCAATAAAATACTATATTACATCTAGCTCGGTGACAAAAATTTAGAAAGGACAAGGTAATAGTTCACAGGATAACTGTACAATGACATTTCATTGATTAAAAATGTATTTATACAGAGAAAAAGTTGAGACGATTTGACTCAAGAAAGACAAAAGTGGAATGGGAATTTAATTATGTTCTTCAAGGACATCAAAGTCTTGTCCCCAAAAGCAGTTTTTGGTAAAGGAGGATAACCCACTTAGGTACAAGAGAACATTTCCTTGGCTAAGGGCACTCCATTGCTATAAGCACATCAATTTTCAGTCTAATTCTCAGATCTCTGTTTAGTACAAATAGGGATTTATCAGAAGTGAGAAAAGTCAACTCTGCATCCCATTTTATTCTCTACACATAGGAAGCATAGACCAAAGGTTTTCTTTAACACAATGTTTTCAGTTCTATTCTATGAATAGAAAAAATAGTGTATGGAAGCTAAGCTATTCTACATTCTGAAGAAGACAACTTTCTGCATAGACATAAAACTGCTGATCTCATCCAGTGACTGCAAAGTCAGAGGGCTTCATACTGAACATCAGAAAATTCATAGTGAAGCACAGCAATCATCATTCTGCCCTTCCTCCACAAACCAACCTCAGATAAAGTATTCTTGCTATATTAGATAACATAATGTTTAACTCAACAGAAATAAAATGCAAAGGATTTGTAGAGAGAGGGTCAGGTCACTAAACAGTGTCCCTATATAATTGCAGAGCTGGTCAAGACTCAGACAAGGAAACTGAAGCCCAATAATGTTAAGTGAGATGATGAAGGACATACAATCCTTCTGGGCAGAGTTAGCATCAGAACCCAACGCAACATAGTCAAAACTCTAAAAATTTTTACATTTCACTTGAATCTCAGATGCACATTTCCTTTCTTACCAGAATTACTTCAAAAATGAGCGGGATCAGTTTGCTTTCTTCCACAAGTCTGTTAAAAAAATAAAAAGAGAACCACATATTAGATAACTCAGCTTCCCTGATATGGAGCACTGCAGCCCCATGTTTTATTGCCTAAATTCTGTGACTGAGAAACAGTATGATTAAATATTCATTTTTAAAACACTGAACTACACCTATTAACTACGAGAAATATGGGGCTTCTTTGCAAGTGACTATTAGCTTAGCCTTATTGATCTGTAGCAAGTAAAATCTCAAATAGATTGATATTACAAATGTAAAAATTAATTAAAATTCACAATTATACAGACCATCAAAATAGGCAATGCCAGTTGAAATAATGTGACCAACCCTCACTGCACAGTTAAATTATCAGCATGCCACACAGTAATCCCTCATATAAGGCCTCATTAGCTACCTTCTCAGCATTAATGAATTAATGTATAAGGATTTTCAACAATCTTTAAATTTTAAAAAAGTACACACCAATCCCCCAATAGGCTCTGGGCACTTTCCCTCATCAAACCTAGTTACAAATTGTCATCGATTCCAACAGAAAATATTTCTCAGGCAATTTAACAGAAAATAGCCTTGATTCAAAAGTGATAGTTTTTAGTAAGAACAATACACCAATCTCTAAATATTCCTTTAGTCCAGGGGTCAGCAAAGCTTTTTCTGTAAAGGGGCAGATAGCAAATATTTTAGGCTTTGCAAGTCACACAAGTCCCTATGGCAACTACTTAACTCTGTCACTGTAATGTAAAAGCAGGCATAAATAACACATACATGAACAGGCATGGCTGTGTTCCAATAAAATTTTATTTACAAAAACAGGTAGTGTGCCATATTTGGCCCACAAGCTATAATTTGCTGACTCTTGCTTTAGTTTTAGAAAAAAAAATCAGATTCCTTGATTTTATTAGAATTTACTTTGTATGATAAACTACAGCACTTAAGACAAGTACGTTGCCTTCCTTGTAGGCATGCGCAGTTTATCTCACAGAAAATGCCAGGTGGATAGAAAGGGAATTTATCATCTGGCCTCCCTAGAGCTTGTTTGTCTATGATAATACCTTGATAAAAGAAAAGCCTATGAGACCAGCCGAAAAAAGATCACAGTGGTTACAAATATGTGTTAAGGGAAAGAGAGCTATAGAAAGAGTTCCCAAAGACTGAAGCACTAGGTATCTAACACAAATATATGTGATTATTTCTGTAGTTTCAGTATTTCAGTGTATTAGGGGGAAAAGGATTTTGATTGCAAATATTAAATTCATTTACATTCTCTCACTCTCCTAGGCAATTGTAGGCTCAGATGTGAAGATGAAGCTCCTTATACCGTGCATGGGCAGGATTCAAGACCAAGCACAACTTCAAGCCAGAACATTCCCAATCTTCTTCCTTCACTTCCTGGATGTAAACCATCTCTTTTCCTAAACTGGTCCTTCTAAGTTTTTATGATATATACTCTTATTAGGCCCAGGCTGAAATAGCCAAGCACATACATCTCAGAGTTGCCCTAGCAACCAAAGCCAAGAAAGCCACAGGGACACAGACACCACTACTTCTCCAATGGGCCCTAGAAGTTACAGCTCCCTCTACTACAGTCTACTCCAACATTCAGATCCAGAAGCATCCACTCACAACACCAGCCCTTTCATGATAGTATTTTAAAATATATTCTATTATTAAGATATGACTACATAAACTACCTTAACTCATTCTTAAAAATTATGACTAGTTTTTCTTCAAGTCTCTTTGCATCATGAGCAGACTGGCCCGGACTACTCTTAAATGTCCTTTACCTCTAAATTCTAACACTCCAGTCCTTCCACTCTTCTGAGTACAATTCAACCATACCAATTTTTGATCTCTGATTTGGCTAACATAATTTAGAGCCACATCTGGTAAATAAAAAGGGAATTCAAGCTAAAGAACTTTTAGTTTAAAAAAAATTTTCTATGACATTTTCTGTGACTCATAAACTAACCTCAAATGTAATCCCAAAAGAACTCTAAAGCAAGCATGGAACAAGGGCAGCTGCAAACGTTTACAACCATCTAAGGCAGTGTTCTTCCAAACTGTGGGAAGGGATCAACGAGTGGGCAATGAGATGAGTTTACTGAGTATTGACTAGCATTTTCTTATTGAAAATAATAGAGAATATCCAAAGGTGTCACACGTAGTATCATTCTGTGACATTTTTGTTTCAGTGATAGGTCTGCATATGTGTACTGAGTAGTGATGTAAAATATATTTTTCTTACTATGGGTTGTAGATAAAACATCTGAAATTCACAGATTTTAGATTGCTTTGGAGACAATATTCATTTGTCCTCACTATGTTCTTAAAATTTGATTTAAAAAAAAATGGGTCTCCTTACTTTAAGCATCTCCTCTCATACCACCATAGGTCCAATTAGTGGCTCAGGTCTCAAATGATCAAGCTCTTCATGTACTTTGGGTAATGGAGCAATCCACTCGGAGCTCTCTTCCTTTGATTTGGTACTCTGGAGAGCAACTCCAGTGCTCAGGCCTCTTAGGTCAAGGAGGACGAGGCTTACCCCTAAAGAAAGTTGATGTGGCTGAATCTCAGGGAATTATTCAAGCAGAAAGTCTTAAATCATCATAGTAGACTTTGGAAAATCATGATGCAAAAGACTACCTTATTTTGGGGCTCTGTTGTGGTTGGCCACCATGATTTATTTAAACCACCAGTATCATTTTACTACAAGAGCCTGTTATATCCTAAAGTCTAAAAGAACGAAAATTTCTATGGTTTATGGACAGCCTGAAGGACAGGAAGTAAAGAGATTTATCTGAATTTTTTTAAACCACAAATAAACAAAAAAGAGATCTTTTTGAAATTATCCCTAATCTTCAAAGGATTGTGAAGATATTAACTACATCACAGTATACTTTTCTTCCTTTATGTTAGCCATCTAAGCACATTGGGCTTAAGTAATTCCAGATGAGTAAACTGAAATATACTACCCTTCCCAAATGCAGCTCCTGGGACCACTTTACCCTGGGTTTTTCATTTTGTTTTGTTTTGTTTCTCCTTAGCAGTGCACTTTAATGATAGCTTGTGTATCATTAAAGAGTTTTCCTCACTAGGTTTTGTTTTGGGAGATTCACTAGGATTTTGTACATCTGTGGTTTATATTATTAAAAAAGGAGGTGCTCTTTGAATTAGAGAACTTTGAATAAACTTATGAAAATCTTTAGGATACATTATTTGACATTCCTGTGCCCAAAGTAAATGTTGCTTTTAGCGCTGGGAAAGTTTTAAAAATTTATTTATTGATGCTCGATAGCTCAAGCACCAATGATACTATTTAAAACACCATGTATTTAAATTTTGATAACTACTTAGTTGAGATTTATCTATGTAGCTACAAGCACAAACTGATCTATAACAAGATTGTATCACAAAATGTGCTGTGATTACTAAAACAATTAAAATGTGTACTTCAAATAATAGGTCAACATTTTCGATGTAAGAAAGAACAACTTTTGAGGTAAAGTCATTATCAGTGGCCTATGGAACTATGATGCCTTGGTTTTCTGTTGCACAATTACATTCACATACATTGAAAATAAAGGCTAACTACAAAGTAAATATATCAATATTTAGATATAAATGACTAGCTGCAACTGAAACAAGAAAAGTAGGAATAGAGAGATTACCCCACTTCTGTTCAGAGAGCTACAGAAGTGGGTTCAGCTGAATTTCAAACCATTATTAACATTTTTTTAACTTTCCTTTAAAACTTAAGACATTTAGGGATGCACCAAGAACAAGAATTAAAAGGAACTAGAGTCCTGCCCTGTTCTGCTCCACCATACTTCTATCCATTCAGAGAAAAGAGGAGCCCTGAGGAAGGTCAGAGAGAGAGAAGCAACGGATCTCTACATGCCCTGGGCTGTTTTACAGACAAAGAAAGGAGTCCCCAACAGTGATAAAACAGGTCTAATGAGACACCAGCTCCATGGAGCTGCACTGTATGGTTTTGCTTGTATGCAGCTTTTATCTACCTATGCAGGTAGAGACAATATGCACGAAGCTAGGACCAGAAGTTGAGACCTACAGTTGATCTTATCCATCAGGGACCCCATCCTCCCCACAGGGCTTCTCCATCCACTGTCTCCGCATTTCAGGAATCCATCTTGTCATGCACATCTTGCTGAGTACTGGAGACTTTTTTCCTGGAAACTATCTCAATTTACGATTAATACTATTGAGCCCTTGCCATAGGCTAATCTTATAAACTCAAAATTCATGCCCTCAAACTCAGAGGCAAGTGGCTTAACAGATATATAAACAAATATAAAAAGAAAATTAAACTTCTATCACAGATATATGCACAGGATATAAAGGAATAGACATGGGGAAAACCTAGTGAGCCCAGACTGGTGAGAAGAGGTGTCCAGGAGCATTGAAAGACAGTAGGAATTGGCCAGTCAGCGTGTGGAGGAGGCAGGTGTGCCTGTATGGAGAGGGTGATAAGCATTCTGAGTAGTTAAAAGACAGTGTGAAAGATACAGCAGAACGATGTAGCTGTGAAGGTCATGCACGGAAGTGTTTTTTTTGGTTGGTTGGTTGGTTGGTTTTTACCCTAAAGGTTATGGGGAGCCTCTGAAGGACTATAAGCAGAAGGATGGCAGCTGGATTTAATGTTCAAACTCCAATCTGACAGTAATGGGAAAAATGAACTGGGGGAAGAGGTGCAGTCTAAAACATTACTACTCAAAGTGTGGTCTGCAGACTACAGCCAGCCTGCAAACTGTCACAGAGCTATTACAAGATAACTATGGAAATTTGAAAGACTAAGTTTGTATCTGTTAGATCTAATGATAAAAAATTTGAACTTTTAAAACATGGCAGTTTTAAAACATGACTCCACCAAAATATGGTGAAAAACAGGATATTTGCATAGTCTTAAAGGACTTCCCCACAAGATACTTAACAATGGAGAAACCTGGCAAGCACCACCTTAACCAACTGAGCACATTTCACATCGCCAGAAATGAGACATACAGATGTCATGTACACCCTGACATCGTGTACTGAGGAGGGCGCATCATCACTTCTGTGCACTCTACCCAAAAATGCATAACCTCAATCTAATCATGAATAAACATCAGACAACCCCATATGGAGGGGCGTCTTACAAAATAACTACCCACTACACTTCAAAAGTGTTAGTGATGAAAGACAAGGAAAGATTAGGGAACTGTCCCAGATGGGAGGAGACTAATGAGATATGAGGACTAAATGCAACATGGGATCCTAGATTAGACCTGGGACCAGAAAAAAATATATATATATTAATGGAAAAACTGGTAAAATTGGAATAAGAACTGCAGATTAGTTAATAGTATTATGTCAATGTTAATTTCCTGGTTTTGATAACTGTACTGTGGCTATATAAGATATTAATATTAGTGGAAGCTGGATGAATGGCACATGGAAATTCTTTGTACTAATTTAACCACCTTTCTGTAAGGCTAAAATTATTTTTGAATTAAAAGGTTTTTTTAAAATAGCTCCCAGATTCTTTACCTCTCCTCCCCTTGAGTCTGGGCAGGTTTGTAACGACTTTAACCAAGAGAACAGCATGGAAGCAATACTATGTGATTTCTGCTTATATTCCACATGTCTTTTGTTTAATTTCACTTCTATAGTATTTTAGAAAATATTTATTCTGGTTATCTCTTGAAGGATAACAAACTACCCCAAACTTAGTGTTACAAAGCAATAACTACTTTAAGACACTTATGGATTCTGTGGGTCATGAATTTGGACAGGGCACAGTGGGGATGGCTTATCTATGTTGCCTGATGTTTGAGGTCTCAGCTGGGAAGACTCAAAGGCTGAGGGTGATTAGAACAGCTGGGGGCTGTGGTCATCCAAAGGCTGCTTCACTCACATTGGCACCTGGGCTGGGATGACTCAGGAACACTCAGTTAATTCTCTTGGTCAGATGACCCTCTCCACATGGCTTGGCCTCTCACAGCATGTGGCAGCTGGGCCATAAGGGAGCATTCCTAGACAACCTGGCGGAAGCTGCATGGCCTTTTCTAACTGAACCCTGGAATACACAGCATCACTTCCACTGCATTCTGAGTGGTTACAAACCAGTCATTCTAGTCAGCCCAGACTCAAGTGGAGTGGAAGCAGAGGGGCCTTCTTACAGGGGAGTGGCATGGTCATGTTACAGAAGAGCATGGGATGGGAGAGATTTTTGCAGCCATCTTTGTAAAACACCATCTGCTACAGTATTGTTCTGCCATACACTGAAATTTCAAAAACTGTTTCTTCAGCACAGTTTGAGGAGCACTGGTCTAGAACCAGACAGACTGGCTAATAGGCTACTACAGTGACCCAAAGGAGCCTGACTGGGGCCTTATATTAGTTTTCTATTGCTGCATAGCAAATTATCACAAATTTAGTGGCTCAAAGCAACATCCATTTTTCAGCTCAAAGTTCTTTAGGTCAGACATCCAGCTCTGCACTGCTGGGTTATCTGCTCAGCGTATCATAAATCTGGAAGCAAAGTGTCAGCTGGGCTATGTTCTCATTTGGAGGCTGCAGGTGGAGGGGGTACGTTTTCAGCCTCATTCTTACTGTTGACAGAATTTAGTTCCTTGCAGTTGTAGGCCTGAGGTCCCTATTTCCTTGCTAGCTGTCAGCCAGGGAACCCTCTCAGGTCCTGAAGGCCACTCACATTCCTTGCCACATGGCCTCCTCCATCTCTGAAACTATCAATGGAGAATCTCCTCCATGTCGAATCTTCCTCAAACTTCAAATCTCTTTGACTTCACTGTCTCTGACCTCTAGACCATTTTCAAATGGCTCATATGATTAGTCAGGCCCACCCGGATGATCTCCATATTTTAAAGTGAACTAGTTTGGGACCTTAATGACATCTGCAATATCCCTTCACAGCAGCACTAAATTAGCATTTAATTGAACAACATCAGGGACTGGGAATCGTGAAGGTCCTCTCAGGATTCTGCCCACCACAGGCCTGAACTTGTCGCCATTGAAATTCCATCTGACCCTCACCTCTGTTGAAAAAAAAAATCATATTTGATTCTTTGAATAAGCTGCTTCTGGCCAACTTGTGTACAAACTCAAATCGATGCTGGACATTTTTTAGCTTTCCAACAATACTGGTTAGGAGTTTTAGATTTCATATTTGTCATAACTGAGCAGTAGACTACAAACAAAGCTTTTGCGTTTCTTATGGCTTACATAATTTACCAGTCTAGTGGAACAACAACAGCCATTTTAAATAAAAAATCTCTAACATCAAGCTGAATTTCAAATTATTGGTTCAGTGAATCAGCTTCCAAAAAGAAATGGCTTCATAATGTTTAGTTATGGCACGATATTATGTCTATCCTGAAAGCAAGAATATCTGTAACGTTTCTTCTTGAAATGTTTGCCCTTGCCGGCAGTGCCTGCTAATCCTCTTGCAGAGAACTGCAGAAGCCTTACCAATAAAGGTACACATGTAAAGAGTTATTTTTTCCCACACAAAAAGGACCGAGTTGAGATTTTAGCAGCTTTAGCACATGGAATTTCAGATGTGGTCATTTTACAAAGATCTACGGAGTCCTCCTTTCTGGCAGGCATTAAATGTCTTCCCTCAAGAAATTTACACCCCAGTGGGCACAAAATATATGCAATATAAAAATAACTTAATCCAAGTTATAAAGGTGACTGCTTCATTTGCTGAGAAAGTCTTAGAATTAAGTTAGCATATGAGGCCATACCAGAATGCATCGCTGATGTACGCAAATCTCCCATTGCCTAAAATAGCACGAAAAAGATATGAATTTCAGTAAGAGATATTTGGTTAGGTAAAAAGCAAGGGATTTCCAATAGAAAGCAGACTTTAGGTGGAAATATAAGAACTTTATGTTACTTTAGCAACTTTGCAAAATGCTTTTCTACCTATTACCCCACTAGGTGCCCAATACAGCCGTGTGATAATCCCATCTGTTGAATGAAACAAGGCAACAGAATGTTTCTATCACAGAAAGTATGGAAGGTGAGAGGGAAGAGCTGTAGTCAAGAGGATCTCCATACAGTGTGTAGAGCTCATTTACAAGACATTTCTGACTCCTTCTAACTCCAGTTGCTACAATATGCCTGAAAGTCCCATTTTGTCCCAGGCTTTACATGAAGTGTCCCTGCACAGACAACAATACTCTTGGAAACCAGCCAAGGACTCTGACTCCTCCTTCCCACATCCTGCCTAGTGCTTTCTGTTCTGCCTGGGTCTCGATTCCTCAGTTTGTTTTTCTGAACGCTGTGGCTCTGCAGCTGGCCTCCTTTCTCTAACAATTCTTTGAATCCTTGGTGTTCTCCCCAAGACACGATTCTGTGTTGATCCCACAGCTCCACGCCTTGAACCTACAGGTAAGAAGCATGCTCATCCTTGCACCAGAGCTGGGAGGGAACCGAACAGAAAGAAATGCTCAGTAAGATAGAGGATTGGCAGGAACACAGACCACAGGCAAGTCCCTATGAGACCACTAGATTGTACATGTGGCCAGCATTTCCTTTCTCCTACAGACATGAGTCAAACACTAAGAGGAATTGTATAAAAGATGTTTTTAAAATTCATTTCAATTTAATAAATCTGCTTATTTTCTATGGCCCCCCTTTTTCCTATCACTTAATGAGATGCATGAGACTTTTGTTTTGGAATCTACTCGAAGGCAGGCTAAGATTTCTCTCTCTTCCCTTTCATTCACTCAGTAAACATTCAACGAGAGCCTATTATGTGCCATGCACTGGGCTAAGCGAGAGCTACCCCAAGTACTGTTAGTGCTAGGATAGACGCCCATAAAGGTACAGATGGGACAAGAGAAACAGTCTTTCCTACCTGAGGGGCATAACAAAGGCTTCAGAGTGTAACCTGTAGTGACTACAGTAGTAAATATGGATCACACGGTTACTATGTGGAACACATGGTTCCCAGTGCTATAAATGTGCTAACTCACTGGACTCTAACGAATAAAAAGTAAAACCTTATAAGTTGGGTCTTATGATGATGATGATGACTAACATTTTTTTCCAGGTGAGAAAGGAAGGCACAAAAAATTGGTCAGGTGACAAGGAGTGGGGCTGAAATATAAACCCAAGCAGCTTAGATCAATGTCCATATTCCACAGTATAGGTACTGCTTGAGCTGAGCTTTGAAAGAGGAGTAAGCTATTGACAGGCAGGGGATGGAGGAAGGGATAGGAAGGAAGGGAGGACAGGCAGGGATGAAATGTGTCCTGGGCAAAGGGAACAGCATGACACAAAGCAAAAACAGGATGGCTCATTAAGAGCAGTGAAAAGACAGGTTTACTGCATTAGTGGAAGAGATAAAGAGAAGGTAGCCAAAGATCAGGCTGGAGGAATAAAGCAGGGCAGATCACAAAAGATCTTGATAGCCAGGCTGAGGAGCTTGAACTTTTTCCTGTAGATCGGGCTGGTAGACTACACCTGCAGGCCAAACCCTGCCAGCCCCAGGATTTGTATGACCCACAAGCTAAGAATGGTTGTTAGGTTTCTAAATAACTGAAAAAAATCAAAAAAAAAATTATTTCATGACATATGAAAATTGCATGAAATTCAGATTTCTGTTTCCATAAATAAAGTGTTATTAGAACCCATTCTTTTACATACTGTCTACGGCTGCTTTTACACTACAATAGCAGAGTTGTGTAGCTGCAATAGAGACCACACAGCATGCAGGGCCGAAAATACTTATTATCTGGCCTTTTACAGAAAAAGTTTGCTGAGTTAGCACATGTCCCCGCTCTAGGTGACTGGGCACCACTAAGGGGAGGATCAGGCAAAATGACGTCATTACCAGCTTTATATTTTTACAATGATTATTCAGGCTGCAGTTGAGGAGGATGGACTGAAAACAAAAAGGACTGGGAACAAGAAGACCAGTTAGCCGACAACGACTGCTCTCAAGATGAGATGATAAGAACCATAGCAGGAGCAAGCAGGAAAAGACAAAGATGAGAGAGATTAATGAGGTCACATCAACAAGATTGGAAAATCTATTGGAGCAGGAGAGAGAGAGGAGGGGAGAAATAGAGAATGACCCCGAGTGCTTGTTTTGTCCTACCTGGAGGCTGCCACCATGACCACCAGAAAACAATAAACATCACAGCAAGCAGTCTCATTCACAGAAGCTCCCTGTGCACTAAGGCACTGGGCTTAGTGCTTTAGCTTTCACATAATCCTTATCATGAGGTAGGAATGAGTAACCTTATTCTACAACGAAGAAAACTAACATTGAACCTTCCAAGGTAACACAGCTAACTAGTTTCAGAGCTCATGATCCTAACTGTTCTAAGATACTATACTAAATAATGCATCGAGGGGAAAAGCTAGTTTGGACAAGATGAATTAAGTTTGGAAAGAAGAGTGACAAGTGGGCTGAGGACAGAAACCAAAGGTACACCAACATACAAAGAGTCTGTAGGAAAAAGAAAGCTGGTGTCCTCCATGTTCATATGATGTAGGAAGCAAAGAGGTCAATGTGGGTGGAACAGAAGAGGGTCAAAAAGAACAGCTTAACACCATGCTCAATCTCCTTGATGTGCAGATCTTAGGTTCAGTCCCAATTCCTATAAGTTATGCTTTTACTAAACTGAGTAACTTTAGTGTCCCCAAACTCATTTCAGGAGCTATTTCTAAGATCAATCCATCATAGCATATTATTAAGAGACAAAAATAGAGAGTGATGATCAACTTAAAACCACTAAGCAAAAGGCTACCTTACTAACCATGAAAACCATAAGATGGGTTATAAATTGCCATTAATGCTAATGTTTGATAAGAACCACCAGTCTGTGTGTGTGTATGTGCGTGCTTAAGAAATTTATGGGTTTTGCCTGATTATAGGAAATAATTATTAAAAATCATAATAATTTTACACAGCTATTTACACAAAATCATTTATATAAAATGTATAAATACCGAAGCATAAAATATAGTATTTTATTGAATGTTATATTTGGAGAAACAGAAAAGCATTACAAAGAAAATATTATAACCCCAGCACTCTAAGAAAATCATTAATAAGTGCAGATGTATTATTTACTTGTCTTTTTTCTATTCATATAGGACATAGGATCAACCTCATCTCTAAACTAAGAGCTACCATTTCTTGTGCATGTACTATGTCACTTGGACAGCCATGACTCACTCAGCGTCTAACAATCCTATGAGGTGAAGTCCATCTTACAGAGGAAGACACTGAAGCTCAGGCTGGTGAAGCAATCTGTTCAGTCACTTACAAAGCCAGTAATGGATCTGGGGATTAGAACTGGAATCCGTCTAATTTAAGAGCTTCTAAGATATACTATATCAGAATAGGAGGCGGAAGAAAAAGTTCAAATCATACCACATATATTGGGTTTTTTAACATATTAAAAAATTTCCCATGTCATTAAATATTCATTTAAAATATGAGTTGTTATACCTACATAGTTTTCTAACCTATAATGTATTTAACTCATCCTCTATTGATGGACCCTTGTTTTTCACTTTTTGCTAGCATGCATTAGAAAACAAATGTACCAGTTAAGGGATCACTTCAAATCCTCCCTCAATTTTCCTGGGTCTGTGCTCCTGGGACAGTACATAAACTCTAAGCAATACTTTCTTCATGTATAACACCCCTGCCGACTGCACCGCAGGATGGTGAGGAGTAACGAAGGGTGTGCGTGTGAAGCATCCAGCACTGGCTGGGACATTAAAAGCTCTATCTGAAGACAGATACTAGCTGTCTTTACTATTATTATTGCTGCTACTGCTTTAAATAATGTTTCAATGGACATTCTTGTATATAAATATTTGTGTATATCTTTCACTATTTTCTTAGGACATATTTCTAGAAGTGGAATCAAAGGCTATATAAGGTTTAATACATACTGACAGTTTGCTTGTCACAAAGATGTACTGATTTATGAAAGTACACATTTCGCTAGACTCTCAAGAAGTGCTGTTTAAAAAAAAACTCTACCAATTTGATTTTATTATCTTAATGGAATTTTCTTTGATTACTAATGAGGGTTCCTCTTTTTCATGTTTATTGTTAGGAACGGCCTTTTCATGTCCTTTGTCCATTTTCCCTTTGGGCCTACCCTACTTTAGAATTTCCAGATACCTAACAGAGTCTGTCCCTAAAAGCTGACTGTTCTGTTTATTTTATAAACAGCTAAGTTAAGCTGGATTTATGACTCCAAGCAGAGGGAAGAAATGCACACACAGAAATGGTGCATTCTGAGGGTACAAGGTGTCTCAGAGGCATTTACCACATTGAAAGGCCATAGTTAGTCTACTTCACTGCCTGGGTTTTTTCCTATGTAATATGCTACAGCAAAGAATGCTAAACGATAACACATGTTCAAGATGGTAATAAAATGTGCCAAGGAAGTCACAGAACATTTGAAACTCTGACCACTGTTTAGTCTGGCAGCGCTCGTGCTCTTTAATTATATGACAAAGGCCCTGTCTGTACAGCAAACTCTGTAATATATTCTGACAAATAACTGTCATCACATAAAATCAAAAGACCTGATATGGAAGAGGATTTGGTGTTGAGACATGAGACATGAATTGGGAGTCTGTGCTTTATGCCTCACGTTACAGTCCATTCAGTTGGGCTTCCCTTTGTTCTACAGAGCTGACTGACAGTGACAGGTGTATGCAATATACTCAGAGACAATGCATGGCTTTATCAAGAGCAGAAAAACAACAACAACAACGAGTTTGCAGCAGAAGTACTTTGCTAATTCTAAAATGGTAAATTACCTTAGTAAATCACCAAAAGGAAATCAAACATTACAAGAGAACTGTGATGCTAAGAGCTGCCAAATATTATCAAGGGATTGACTCTTTCAGACTTTAGAAGACACACTGATCATACCTAGAGATTTTGTTTAGCTCTGATTTCTACAGGTAGGATGCCATGAGCTGATGGTTTTGCTGGCTGTAATAACCAAACAAATAAAGGTTTCTAAACTATTTGATTTGTAAAGAGACCCAATAACCATACAAACACAAAATATAAGGGCACTATAGAAATGCTTTATTGCAAGACAATGTTATCTTTTCCCTTTTGCTATTATTTTCAGTGCTGCACATTTTAACACCATCAGAAGTAAAATAAATTTGTTTTACAAATACAAAACAACCAAAAGGCATTAACTGATGAGCTGAAAATCAAAGAAGCCAATAAGAAAAGTTAGAAACTCCCACTAAGAAAAGATAAATAGATATATCAGTCAAAACAAACATATTTTACACTAATATTATGGTCCAAGGCAATTGGTTCAACTGCCATCTTTATACATTCCTTAATGAACCAATACAACAAAGATATTAATCTGATGTCAAATAAACAAGTAATTTAAAGAATAGTCCTTTTAAATCCTGAAGATAATGATGCCTCTGGTGGTTGGATAAAGAAATGGAAAACTATTTATTATGGGAAAGGATAAAGTAGATTCTTTGATGCCACACCCTATATGTAGATGAGAAAGCAAGCGTTCCACTGAAGGATATCAATGTTTGGATGGCAATAGCCTATGAACGCTTGTGAAGGGTTGGGCTGTACCAGTGTCATCATGACTGCCATTGAGTCATAGGTACTGACACTCTCACCCTAGCATTGTCCAAAAGGAAGGTCTTATTTCCACTGGCACACAGGCCATTTATAGCTTTGAGCTCCCCACTGAACTGGCTGGAAAAGCTCACTGTGTACTCACTCATACAAAACGTCTGCACAAATCCCATAGAAAGGTTGCTCCATGCAACTGAGTCATTTCTTAATAATGACCAGCGAATTGAGGACCCTATCACTGAACTAAGCCCAATGCTTAACTGCTCAGCAGGCTTGGAATCTAGCCCTAGAATTCACATCACATTCTGATAGCCCAGGCTAGACCTCCTACACTAAAATATCTATGGGATTTGAGCACTACTGTTTTCACAATGCTTTCATTTCATCTCCACAAGGGCCACAGAGTTTGTAGAATAGTCTCTGGCTCTGACTAGTGGCCCAGGAAGCCTAAGGCTCTCGACAGAAGAGCTGAGGAGGAGACGATCAGAGACCTACGGGCTGCACGCATGGCTCACTCAAGCTTCATGAGGAAAGACATGGAGAATCACAGCCCCAAAGTGTGGCTCAAGATGCATAAGTCTGAGCAAATAATGAGCAGGTGATAAAATATGGCCAAGGCCATAGTACACTTGAGATCTGACCACCGTTCTAGACATATACATAGCAAGGAAACTGGATGACACCCACTTTGAGCAGGAGTTCAAGGAGGAAAGGTAGGAATGCTCCAATAATATATACAAAACTTAACTCCTAAAAACCACTGCCCCTGAAGCCTGGAAGACCCAGGCTAAAGTCTATCTCTAGAAAGTGTTCCAGACAGAACTGAGAGACCCAAACAGCTAAGTCCCTCTGGCCTATCTGAAAGAGCTAAAAATAAACAGTAACTCTGAACATGCTTAAATAGTTTATCAAGAAAGATTTAACATAGTTTTCCAGAGGAAAAATAATTGTCTTAATTTTTTAAAAGCCAAGTGTAAAAGGAGGAACTCATAAAAATAACAACCACAGAAATACTTACCATGTTTACTATGTACTCATCTTAAGTAGGAAACAAAAGATAGTAACAAATGACAACAACTTGAAACAGAAATACATAAACAACAACGAGGCTTTAGTACAGTGTTAGTATTGTTTTTATAAATATTCTAAAAATAGGAATATATAACATAGTTTCCAATTATCCAAATAAAAATTCCATACCTTGACCTCTCAACTCATTGACCTCATCACTTTGTAAACTCTTTTCTTATCCCAGCCTCAGGCACCCAGTTTCTACACAGTTTTATTGACCACTGATTGTACCACTTCAAAAGCCTTACTTCCAAGCATTCCAAAGGGAGAACACTACTTCCTAACTTCCCAGCTCAATTCCCCCTCCACACACGCTGGATTCTAACACTTCTCTCTTAAGGAATATTGTAGGGCATATCCCCAAGATGGCAAGGATATCAGTCTAGCAAGCCTCTACTCAACCTCCTGCTTCATCAGTTCCTATGAGATCAAGCGTCAGGAATCTGTTTTAGTAAAAGGACAGAAGTAAATACTTTTGGCTTTGCAGGCCATATGGACTCTTTCAAAACTACCCAGCTCTGTCCTTGTAATACAAAAGCAGCCTCAGGCAATAAATAAAATGAATAGGTGTGGCTGTGTTCTGACAATATCTTATTTACAAAAGCAGGTGGGCTGGATGTGGCCTGTAAGCTGTAGCTGACCAACCTCTGTACTAGATCATTCTCATCAACATAGAAACATCACTACAATACTGCTTATCTTAAAAAAAAAAAATTCTTTGACTGCATATCTCCCTCCAGCTCCCCATTTTTCAGCTATCCTTTACAGCAAAATTCTCTTTAGAGTTATTGAGGTTCCCTGTCTCCATCTCATCATTCCCTCCTCAATGAACTCTACCAGGTTTTGCGCTCACGTGCGACTGAAAATAACCCCTAAAGAAGTTATTCCTGTTGCCAACTACAATGGCTAATTCTTCATCCTCATCTTACTGACACTCTCACCAACGTTTGACACTAATATTATTCCCATCCTCTGAAAGTCCCTGAAAATCAGAGGCTTGCTTCTTTAATAACATGGCTAGCATTAACACAGCTAGTCAACTCCCTCACCTCTATCTTATATGTCACCTTCCCAAAGAAGCTCTGACCCCCCTCTCCAAAACAGCTTACCCCAGCCCATCATTCTCCATTCTCTAAGCCAGCTTTATTGTTCTTTATATCACTTACCACTAGCTGAAATAATGGTTTTTTAATTGATTTCTTTGTTTATTGTCTATTACCCCCATGTAATCATAAAATCCATGACAACTAGGACTGTGCCTGTTTTGTCCACCTGGGTGAATACAACTATTTGTGGAGTGACTCAATGAATGAATGAATGAATAATATTAACTTTCTTGCAGGTAGAAAAATATCAAAGCAGATTCTGCTCTGAAGTTCAATGATCCTACGGTGGAAATAAACTGCAAGGCTTCAAGAGACTCTGTGAAGAAGAAAAAAGCAGCAAATGAATTTTCTTGCAGGCAAATAAGGAAATACTTAAGGGGAAAACGTTAGGTAGCATTCTATTAAAGATGATGATCTCTGAACTTCTATTTAAATACAGAAGGAAGGAAGTATAAAGTATTGTTGATTATAGCCCCCAAAATACCAGGGCCACTCTGACCAAAGACTTCAACCAAATGCTGGCTTCTGATGCAACATGTAGTGACTGGCTCAAACGTGGGTACCATGTGACCAAAGAGACATCAGCACGTAGGGCTCTCTGCCAGGCCCTAGTTGGTACTCCATAAGGAAAGCTGTCACTGAACCCACACAAGTCAGAGAAGGAAAATAGAAATGACCCACCCTGCAGTATATGGGGCTGCTATGAGATTACGGATTCAAAAGATTACATTGTTTTTGACAGCCAAGATGAACAGTCTCAATGGACCCAACAAGGACAGGCAATGAAATGTTTACCAACTCACCACGAACTTAGGGGAAATCTCTGTAATAGTAAACAAGATAAAGGAAGAAAATAGCACAAGTATTTACTACCACCTGTAGCAGGCAAAACTCACATAAGAGTTTTTTATTTCTGAAAACATAAATAACATCAAAACAGATTTAGGTCAATTACTGTTGATTTTCCTCACAAATCATTAAGGAAAATAGAATGCCTTAGGTCAAACTCCTAAGGTTTTAGATTGGTATCCTTCCATAATTCTATCAGAAACAGAATGCTAGGGTAGATGGAGCGAATTAACACTTACTCTATGAGTGCTTATGTCTAAAGGCTTACAGTAGCTCCTACATTAGGAGATGTGTTTTATCATGATGAACATAATGAGGAGGGGTTTCAACCCTGTCAGTGTGGTTTAAGTCATGAGCCGAAGAGAGTTCAAAACCTGGGAGGATGAGAGAAGGAAGAAGTTGAACCGAACCAGGAACCAGGTTCACATTACTAACCAGAACTGTACCAGGAGCTGCCACAGTGATGATAATCAAAGAGGAATGGGAGCAAGAACCTAATGATGATGGCAGAGGAAAACAAAGAAGAATCATCCTTTCGCTATTATCAGATCCACATGACACTGAAGATGACTATGTTGAAGAACCAGACTACTCTTATAAGTAAACATGACACAATGAAACTTAAAACGGTTCAACTTCAAAGTCCATTGTCCACTTGGGTTTCTTTAAAAAAAAAAAAGTGGCTCTGCTGAGTAGGACAAAGAACAGTGGACCAGAAGGTCTGGATCCAAAATCTGATCTTGCTTCAAATTGACCATGGGGTTTGGGACACACAAATTCCCTCTAAGGCCTCAATTTCCTCATGTGTAAAATGAAGACTTTGGGCCAGTGTACTAAACATGTCTTTTTATTTTGTATTTTTGATTCTTTCACATTTTGAGGCCTTGCTAACTCTGGAGAAAACGACCCTCACAGGGTCAGCTAATTCCTAGAGATGGCAAACAACGCTTCTTTGAGCTTGCCTTTCCTGTGTAAACCAACCAATCCAGAGCCCATACCCCCAGCCACCTCCTTTATGGAGCTCTTAAACTCCAGGCCACATCCCCCTGCCCTAACCACCCCAGGGCCAGGTATTAGACAGTTAAGGACAGCCCCTACACACCAAAGCCCAGGGAAATTATGCAAACTAGCCAATCGTAACCCTGCATACCCTGCCTCACCCATTCCTTCTCTTGTAAACTACAATAAAAGCTCTTGCCCATGTTTTCCTCTCACTGCCTCTGCCTCCTGACTGACCCTGGTGCTTTCCCATGCAGCCCCTGTGGTGTGGTGTGCACCCTTTTCTTGGGATCCGTGAGTACAACAAATGATCTTTTCAAGGCCAGTTGTCTCCCCATCTGTTGACCTCACTATACCTGAATAATAATAAAACCTGTATTTTAAAACACCCAGATCATCTCCAAAGTCCCATATAGCTCTCAAACTCTAACATTTCTGTATTCCCACAAATAAAGACAAAAATGTTCTATTCCTTTAGATCAGGGGTCAGGAAACATTTTTTGAAAAGGGTTAGAAAGTAAATATTTTAGGCTTTGCCAGACACAAGGTCTCTGTCTCATATTAGTCTCTGTTTGTTTGTTTGAAAGTTTTATGACTCTTCAGAAACCTAAACACCTCTCTTACCTCACAGGACACACAAAAACAGGCTGCAAGCTATCTGGCCCTATGGGCCATAGTTTCCCCATCTCTGCTTTAGACAACAAGAGAAAGTCTACAGACCAAAGGATGCCTTGAGAAACATCAAAAGCTTGACTGAATCCCTACTCAGATTTAACACCGCTCTACAATATACAACTGGGGAACCACTATTTGTAAAGGTGTACAATAAACTCTAAGTAGTTTCCCTGTAAATGTTACACCAAAAAAGGAATCTGAAACCATTCACTTTTGGACCCAGAAATAGCTGCTACGTATTCATGTGACCATAAACTCACATCTGTGTTAAAAGAAAACAATGAGAAAAGATCACCATCCTGTCTAGAGTCTAGCAGACACAAACTCAACAGGGTCATAAGTCAAAAAGTCCTTTACAAGAAAGCAAACGGCTATTCTAATATCTTTATAGATTCTGAATTTCACTAGAAGCAGACAAAACAATTAAAATAAACACATCCAACTATAAACTCTTCCTTTAGAATGGAAAGTGCTATTGTATTAACAGTTTTCAAAGATGGTTAACTACCGCTAGCAGTTGAACCAAGAAAAAGAACTTTCTCAGAAAAAATAAAATGCTAAACTTTCCAAGAGTAAAATAAAATCTTATGCTCATAACTGTTAAAAGGATCTCAGTGGAAGTACACAAAATACCTCACGCAAAGTTGACAATTTAGATAATTTTCATTTAATTTCTAAATTATTCTTCTTAAGTAATATTTAAGCACCAGTAATACATGTTGAACAAGCACTACAATCCTAAATCAAGGAAGAGAGAGGAGAAAACAAAAAACCAAAATAAAACAAAGAAAGTTTTGACTCCAGGAACCGACGAAAGGAGGAAACAAGATTTGCTCAGTATTTTGAATCTTTTACTCATGCTTTATCCCCTGAAATTACTCTACTTCAGTAAGAAGTGTAGACATGTACCCAATTTAAACAAGTGGCTGAGAACACTGCAGCATGGGCTCTGTATACAGAAGAGGAAGGAACAAGGTAACAAGGAATGTCAAAGGCTCAGTGCCTGTGGGAGACACTTTGCATCTTGTTCTGCAAGTGCTATGGAAGAATAAATGGGAAAACCACATAACAGTGACCCTAGAATGGAAATGGGGTAGAGACTCAGACTTGTTTTTCATTAGGAGGCTTTTTGGATATCCATAAGCACCCTGAGAAGCAGTAAATTATTTCTGAAGAAATCAATTCATTCTAATTTTAACAGTAAAGTTTTACTTTATTACATAGTGATTTCACTTACTGAGATTTCATCAGAGGAAATATTTAGTTGGTAAATTCAGCTGAGGGAAAAAAAAAACACCTACGTGGCTTATTTTAACAAGAGGGGAACATTTCAAACATCTCTGACATCTATAATGATTTGGGCTTTTAGTTTTACCAGACTACAAAACTGAAATTAAAATATATCAGAATATGGCAAAACCTAACTTATTAAGATGTAGAAATTGAGAGGCAAAGGCAGATGGAAGCCATCTTGTGCCTGGGGTGTTCTCTATGGCCTCCACGGTTTTGTTATCCAAAGTCAAACCAATGAGACGGTCCCATGCAGTTTCTTTCTGCTATTGAAAAACTTTACTTTTTTTTCAATTCTTTGCAGGGTGTTAGAGCTCTGGTTCCAATCAGTATCACCAGACATGTCTTTCTACGGTCAAGAGGTTACCTCTTCTAGGAATACTTCCTTCACCTAATCATCATAAAAAGGAGGAGGAGAAGGAAAAGAGAAAAGAAGAAAGGGGAGAGGGGGGAAAGGGGGAACATTCACACAGCATTTTCTGTGGACCAGATGCTAATATTACCCCATCTTCCAGATGAGGGAACTCAGGTACAAACAGGTTAAGAAACAAGGCCAAGATCATAGAGCCAGTTGGGCTAAATTCCTTTAGGTGTTCCCATGACCCCTGGACGTGACTGTATCTTTTAAATCATTACACTGTTTTATAAAAGCCTATTGATAAATCTGTTTCTTCCACTAAATTCTAAGCACCTTCAGGGTGAGAACTTAATCTTAATTATCACTTATCCTTGCATCACTCAGTAGCTGCTAATTAAATCTTTGATACAT